CGTTGCAATGGATAACTAAGCAAAATTGGACATTACCTCAAATTTCGTTTCGACGTTGCTGCTGCAAAGGACGCTCGTTCCACGCGCTTTCGTATTTAAGGACCACTTTTCGCTCGCGGGTTCGAATTACGCGCGTTCGAATTACGAAATAAAACAGGGGAAAAACCGCGATTAATTGCCCCGTCAACTTTTACAACGGTACGTGGACCTACGAATTCGCATGAACACGGGCTCGACGTAGCGATTCCTACGGAGCAAATAGAATCGTAGTACAGGGATGGACGACACAGTTGGGACATCGTACAGGCTGCCGGCTCGCTGGACTCCGAGCTAATTATTATAATTCCCACGGCAACGATGGCGCATTAAAAACTAATGTCTCCGATGGGAGGTGGAATTAATCATCGCCGGAACTGGACGTATCCACTGACCCACTGAGACCATGGACACGGTCCAGAAATAAGTAACTTCTCGAAAGGCCATCGGTCTCCGCAACGGCCTCCATGACCGGCAATATGGCCGACTCGTGAGTCGAAACGAGGCGAGTTTGTCGACCCCGGAAAGGAACGCGGATAAGGGTGATTAATCCTCGAATCCTCGCGATAATGTCCAGTAAATTGTTGCTCATTTTCTGTCCACTCGATGCAGTTTTAAATCGAAACATTCGTTCCCACCGATAGCGATTCACTATAGGAGTAATAGGTCATTCGAGATCGCTCGAAACGTTCATCGTTCGCCTCGGCGAACGTGAATTGTTTCGACGAGAAACTTTCATTTCGCGTGGAAATTTTTGCAAATGGAAACTCTGATTAACCGTTTCTATTATTTTTCGTTTCAATCTGCGAAAATTAAAAAACTTCCATTCCTTCGTTTAAAGGATATTGAGACGCAAGATTGACTTCTCTCCCTCTGCCGCAAAAAATAAAAAAAAAAAAAAAAAAGAAATAAAAGACAATAAAAAATAAAGCGTTATTTGGCACGTTCGGTCGAAAAACTTTTTCGCTCCTGGTTGCCCCGTTATCGTACATTTCGCGCAATACCGCGCCGCGGTGTTACGTTTGCGCGCTCGTCGATGGCTAAATTTGCAGAAATTCGCGAGCAGGAGATCGACGCGAGGACGGAAACGCGACGCAGAGGCGTGAACGTGATCGGCTTCGTCGAAATTAAAATTCTTTCGGCGAGGAAGTCGTAAAAGTGCAGGCTAATTTCCGGGACGATCGCGCCGTAACGCGAGATAACGATCGCGATAACCGATTATAGGTCTGAATTATGAAGGAAGTTTTAAACTGCCCCGCCTTCATTGGCAAATGCAATTAATTAACGAGAAACCGCCCGCTTATGAATTATTCGACCACCCTGTGCCACCCCTCGTGGCCGCTTCGCGTGGCTCGTGTTCGCAACGCCCCCGTCGAACGAGAGGCTGACGATTCCGAGGATCGAAAGCATGAAACCCGCGTGCCACGGAAGACAAATGCCCGGTTGAGATACGTCGAGAAAGAGAAAATCGTTTCGCCTAATGCGACTCGTCTTTCCCCCTAATGCGCGGCTGCCGGCGTCGAAAAACATAACAAATCGTCCGCGTCGAAAGCGACGACCCCTGATGTAAAGGAACGGCTCCTCCCAGCGAGGTTGGTAAGCCTGTATTGCTGACAGATCGTTATGACGTTGCATTCAATTACCCTACATTCCGACAGAAGCCCGCGTTCCTCCATTAGACGACGCAACCGAATTACCAACTTGGAATTGGATCTACCGGTTTCCCATTAAAACTAGTTCGTTTCCTCGGCTGTGAAATTCGGAAGAAAAATTGGAAGAAGTTGGCCGATCGTTGGCGAGGCAGTATCGTTTGTATATATCCGCACGCTGGCGGAGAGTTGCTATTTCCGTGCAGCGTGCACCGGGAAACTGTCCCGTCCCATGCGAACCAATGATCGTACTCGAAGCGGAGAGCAATTAGATCGATGCCTCAAGATGCCTCGTGACCCTTATTTATTCAAGGAAGCTCGCCTGGACCCGGGCAACGTTTCGTGGAGGTCAAACACCTGATTCCGCCTGTGATACCGCGCGATTCGACTCGCGAGCGTGCAACGGGCTCCGAGTGCCACTCGTTGGGACGTTTTAAAAATGGCCGCGCCACTCGAACCGCCTACGTTCCACCGACTCGCTATCGTTCCGTCTAAAGTGTCGCTGCTATCGAGAAGGAAAAGAGTAGTGGTACACGAACCGCTGGCATTGTGCTCTCCAGTCGGGAATTGCAACCGCGCGAGACTAGATAGCTTCAGATTCGATCGGGGCCCCCGTAGAAATTTATTCCACGCTTAAAATCCGGACTAAAGGTGTCCGCGGGCAGCGAAAGGCAGCCGATGGGGTTCCTCCTCTTTCCCGTTTCGCTCGATCGCCGATGCTTCGCGCGTCGCGCGCCCGTTCAAAGGCTAAAAGTTATTAACATCCGGACTCCACTCGGTCCAGAACTCATTACGCGTCCTGCAAGAATTCCGACAGTTTTCGACATTGAGCCCGGATTAGACGTTGGCAACTCGTTAGCCGGTCTTATCGACCTCCTCCCCCAACCCCGCCCCATTCTCCGGGCTCGTATTAATTAAAAAAATGAAAATCTACGGGCTGTCCGACGCATGGACCGGGTGTGTAATCCCTTTCCCGTGTTCTCCTTTCCTCGATACCACGGGAAACTCTACGGCCCGGTTCATCGGTTTCCGATTTTCTCATCGATACCCGGCTATCCGCGCGATCCCCGGTCGTTCTTAAAAATGAAATTTCCCCCGCTGAAAAGCGCGCAGATCGTGGGAATTAACGTGGAAATTAACGTTACGTATTATCCCGCTCGAACGAATTCCGGCTCGTAAAAAGCGTCAATGGGTAGCTTTTAATTAAAACGAAAATTTAAAGGAAAGACGAATTTATTCCCGCAGGATCGGAGTTTCTCTCCGCGGTGGCGGAAGAAGCGCGTAGGCTTCTCGAAACGTTGACCTCGCTTGATATCTGACCTCGACTCTCGACAGCGGTGGAAGCCGCGGAGGTGACACCTCGGCTCGGCCGCATCTGGCCGGCAATTTATCGAAAGGAAGACTAATGATCGCCAGGAGCGGATGGCAGAAGCTCGGCCGAGCCGCGGTGACAGATACCGGCGTCGGCGGATCGATCGGTTCGAAACGAAATAAAATATGCTCGCGGGAGCAGGGCCGTAATTACGAGTTGGCGAAGAAAAATACCGCGCGTCGTTACCGGAGGGTTAGGCGAACCCGGTCCGATCGGTTGCAGCTTGGAACGGAAGAACGCGGAACGGGGTGGGCGTAGGGTTCGGAGGAAGACGGGAGAGAAAGAAGGAAAGAAGGGCGAAACCGTCGAGACGAGGAATTACTCGGATAACCGAGAACGTGGTACGAATGAACGAAGGGATGGAACAGGAACGGGGAAGCGGGCAGGAAGGGGCGAAGAGGGAGGCTGTGCTGGAAGTCGGGGTGAAAAGGACGGCTCGCGTGCACGGGCGCGAGTTTTGGCTTCCGGTGGCTTGCATGCTCCGAATCCACTTGTATCAGCCAGGTAGTACGAACTCGAGGCCCGTGGAGGTTCGATTAGGTCGAGCCTGCGCCACGATAACGGCACGGACGCGTGTCTACGAGGGTATTGGCACACGCGGTGGCGTGGAAGTCGTACGGAATTCGCCCACGTCGCGGAAGCTAATCGCGCCGGCTGAATTAATTCCGCGGCTGAAAATGGCTGCCGCGGACACGTCGACGCTCGGTATTTCGCGGAGGAAACGACCAGTTTTGCCTTCTCCTCGAATACCGTCGTTCGGATTTCGGTTATTGGCCCCAGAGCGACCCTGCGAATCGTTAATGAGCAATTCCGACTAACGCGGGTTCCCGTGCTGTTCGGGCAGTGTTTGGCCAACTAGTGGATTCTGATTGTACACGGGAGCGCTTTGTTGGGAGTATAAGACCAGCGGAGTCTATTTCTAAAATACATATTCCGCACGCGTATCAATTGCTCCAAGCTTTCGTAACGATTCGCGTATCGCGTGTGTACGTTAGATCGGAGAAGGGAACGCGATCGATCGATAACTGGAATAATCTTATCGGTACATTTTTTACCCGCATATCTCGCGACCACTTTTCCCCCCGGTGCCTATCGAGCAGGAGGCCCTTATCGAATGGGATCGGCGAAGCGATTCGGAGAATTTCGAGGAAGAAAGAGGGACGAAGTACGTGTCGACGCGACGAAAGCGGAGCCGCTTTTTTATGAGACTTGGAGCAGGGCTAGTTAAGTTAAATAATGAAGGAAGATTGGCCCGGTCAGTCTGCTGGGGGTTGGAAGCGGGTACCGAGCCACTTTGATGTCTGGCGGCAGCCACCGATTATGGAATCAATTATTGCACGCCACTCTCTTTCGTTCTGCGTCCCTTTTTCGCTGGCGAACCGGCGGCTCGCCTTTCAGCCTGCCTCGCGTCCAATTCAGCCCCCTTCCCTCCTACACCTGGCCACGCAACCTGGCAAATCCTCTCTCTGTCTTGGCCGTGTCAGCGCGAAGAGGAAGATTTATTCCGTACAGGAAGAAATTGCCCGGTCGAACGGAGTCACGGAGAATCGATTCCACGAAAGGTCAGACCAGTCCAGGTTAAGGTCCACCCGCGTGTACAAGGATGCCGCTATTATCGTCGTATAATCTACGCCAATTACCCCCAGCGCGCAAGAGTATCGCGGAAACAGGACCCTAACTGTCAGTACGTGCTTATTTCCTTCGATCCCGGCCCATCGATCCCGGGCCCCGAGCTTAACGACAAACCGTGTGATTTCGACAAAAATACCGATACGTACGCAATCGACGAAATAATTACGTCGAGAACGAACCTCGGATATCTCGAATGACTTCCCGTTCCCGGGGATCGATCAGTTTCGACGCGCTGCTGCTCGAACGATCCCCAATGATTGACCAATTATCGAAAATCATAAACTTTATTTACAGCTAATCTGAGTGTCTGGTACAAAAACGTGAGGCTGTACCGCGAGGTACAAACGCGGAAATAACGTCGAAGATAATACTGACAGCGATTAGACAGCGAAAATCGTTCGTTAGCACTGGCTCTTGTTCTTTTTGCTCTCTTTAATCGAGATCACGTAACGCTGCGCGACATTCAGCGGCGGCGAGTAGCCGTCCGCGTAGGTGGCGTCTTCGAACAAGACCTCGTATTCCTCGGTGGCGGTAGTGGGCAACTGGTTCACCACTGCCTTGTAAAAACAGGTCGTTTGAGGGTACAATGCCATCACGATGGACCCTTTGGGGAATAGGGCGTGAGGATCCGTCTCTGGATTAGCCCTCATTAACGGGAGCGGCACCACTCTTCTTCTCGACAAGGTGTGCCTGTCCTTTTGTTCCTCGTCGATGTCGTCCACTTCGTATTTATTCGTCGTCGGGTTGAACTGCACCACTTCCGCGAGGATCCAATTTTCCTCTTCTTCCGACCCCTTCACCAGAGCTGCCACCATGTCTCCCATCTTCGCGATGTACGTGAGCTCAGCCGGGATCGCCCCGCAAAGAGAGGGCGGCTTCGCTCCTGGTGTTTTGCCGACGTACAGAGGGAGCGTCTGCGCGGTGCTCAGTAACATCTTCATCAGGGCACCTCGCCGAATAGTTTCCTTGTTGCCCGCGTTGCGAGCCTGTATCCGTCGCTCGTTCCTGATAGCTCGGATCTCGTTGATCTTCTCCAGCGCCTTACGCAAAGTCTCCTCCTCCTGTTGCGAGTCACCGATCGCCGCGTTGTACAGGTTCTTCAGCTTCTGCTGGTAGTACGGGGACACCTTGTCCTCCGGGGTCACCTTCTCGTAAGTCTTCACGATGTTGTTCAGATTGTGTTCCGAGCGTACCCGCTGCGTCTCGATCTCGTGCACCAGATGATACAGGTTTTTCAGTCGTTCCTGGATCTGACTGGCCGCCGCGTCCGCTGTGAACGGCATCTCGTAGTGTGGAACACGTGTCGGTACGTGTGGGTTTTACGTTCTCATCTCCTCCCTGCGCATCTGGACACGCGGGTTCTATAAATGGAAATAATAATTCACGCGTGGAATAATAACAAGCTCGAAGGAGAATATTTTAGTATAAATTACGCGTTTATAATTCGTATATTTAGTTGCGCGAACGTACACGAATATTATTAAAGCACGCGAGCTGTTATAATAACGGTTAGTATAATTGAAAAAAAGTAAGACGAAAAAAAAAAAAAAGTTTTCCCGCCTTGGCGGATTTGAACCCGCGACCTCTATCACCGCAACTCGACACGCTACGCGATACGCCACGACACCAATCTCGTTTCGAGTTTTCTCAATGAAACTCTAGCAATATTTCAAATACCTAATAAATTATCTTTTTAATACACGTTCGTTTCAATAAACATCGCTATAAAATTATCATGCAACAACAAAAAGCTATAAAACAAACTAATTTCTCCGCGTATAATTAATAGGAAACCGGTTAGGTAGCCGAGTTGATGGATCGATAGGAGCATGCTCGCGGACGGTCGTTACAAAATGCATCAAGATTTAAACGTACCTCATTCTGCGGAGGAAAAATCGGCGTCCAATTCGTCGAAGCAAACCGTTGAATACTCGCCTTTCTAACGCGAAGTTACAGGCGGCACTAAAGCAATCCAACGTCGTACAATCGACTGTGGGTACGCTTCTGCGCCATACTGCTTCTCCCACCATTCACGCCGCGATATTACGAGCGAGCCACGGCTAAGGTAGTGCTGCCACCTGCTGCCAAATGCTCCAACTAACCGGCCGGCAATAATTTTGTCCGCTACAACGTATAATACTTTATCGTCGAATTTCGCGTTAATAATTTATATAATACGTACCGTAAAACCGGCGTATGCGAAGTGGCAGTTATAAAACGAAACGTAACGTGTATATACCGTCGGATTAGCGATATGATTTCACGAATTGACAATACCGGTAACTGTTATTTCATTGCGCGGAACGAGAACCTCGAAACAAATGGGACGTTATTGCAGTTTTTCATCCGTTAGTCGAAAACGAGAAATTCCAATATTTCCCGGGAATTCCAGTTTACGCACGCTTTGTCGGGAATCTAGCACACGGCATACCTGGTTACGACTATTGCAATTTCGTCTTTCTTCTTCGCGTAAGATACGTTTCTATCTGAAGAAAATGAAACAAATCCCTCGACATTTTGCAGTAAACGAAAAATTGCCAGACGTAATAAACAGCGCGAATTTTTTTTTCCCCCGAACAACAATTCCCGAAACGAACGTATATTTTCCTTATTTTCATTTTCATACGCCCCGCCAACCTTTCCGGTTTCGTTCAAAGTCGTTTATTTGAAAATGCAAAATTTATTGCCCGAATTCGGGTTCCACTCGCTTTTTCATCCACGACGACAGGGGCAATGGTTTCGTAATTTTTCTACGCGGGTCAGCCATTTCGTCGGGCGAAACCGAGGCAAATGGCGCGTGACCGGGAACGATGGCGCGAAAACTATCGGTTGGAGGAAAAGCGGATGGCCGTTGGGAGGAATAATCAATCGGTTGGTAAATTACGCGAGCATCCATGGTGGCGAGGAGCGGCGTAAATCAGCGGGCGCGGAAAAGCTCTCTATCGTTGTTGTTAGGTGGCGGATGATGTAGCGCCATGGCTGGGATCGTGCATCAGAGACGGTGTGCATCATCGCTAACGGCCCCCGATAGCGACGCGAAACGCGACGCTTAGCGGACGCTGGAGAATCCCATGGACATTGCGACGAGAAACGATGGCTGGGCTGCGTTCCAGCGTGAGCGCACCATAAACGTACATAAGCGCGAGGCGGCCGGGTTCTTACGAACTCCGTGACCTATTCGCAATGAGATGCGTGTCACGCGTGCCACCGGCGCGTACGTGGCCCTTACACAGGCTCGCGAGCCTGAAATCGCAACCGATTCAACCTGTTCCCAAGCGGCGCGAACAATGCGAGTGCAGGCCGCGTGGGCCGGAGAGCTATTTCGTTATTTTCGGAAATTTCCATAGGTATGCCCGTGTGGGTTGGCTAGAGCCGGGGTAGCAACGATGTAGGATATAATTTGTTCCTGCGCAAAAGTGTTCTTTGAATTTTTATTCCTCGATACAGGCGAATATAATTAGCCCGTGGCTACCGCGAGCGTACAGTTTTATGCAGCGCGAGTGTGCTTTCCTAGGCACAGTCGCAATAACGATTGCGCGACACGGCATGACACGGAACAAAGAGCTATACATAGGAACGATACGTTATTTATACCTGGTCGCTTGTACAGTACGGAAGGCATTGTTCGCTCTCGTTCCGAATATAGCCGGCAAACTTTACATACGTTTCGCTAAAAGTATCCCAGGTCGACGATAAAAGACGGCCTGGAAAGAGGAAAGAAGCGGGTCTAATCATCGGATAAAAAAATCATTTGTCACGATGACTTTGACGCATGGCGTACGTTAGCTCTCCAAACACGCCGTAGTCACACGTGCCTCGTTCTTCAGAAACTCTCTCGCTTGCACGTTGTAATTATTACTCCTTTGATTTATCCCTCTACCACGTCCATTTGTAATGAAGCCCCGGGAACAAATTATTTGCTCGTAAACGAAGAAAACAATAAATGATCCGACTTTATTATTACAGGATATTAAACTCTAATAGATTATCCCGGATTCGGTTGATCGATAGCATCTGTCTTTAACTCTCGCGTAATATTAATTCCATTTTATTGCTGGTACCACTTTCCCACATACCGGCACGACGATTACGTTTCGCCGAGCCTATGCACGTACGCGTGCACGTATCCCTGTGTGCAAGAACCCGAGAACTCGTCTCGCTCGCAACGATCCTAATGATCGAAGGACGTCGAAATTTAGCGGGACTCTTGAAACGCGCATTTGCACGCTCGTCGAGTACACGTAGCCTGTAGCATTAACGTTACAATGTTTATTGCAACACGGTGGTGCGCGCGCGCGCGTTGTGCAAGACAGATACAACGTCTGAAATCAGCAGGATATAGCGGGAGGGCTCGTCTAATCTCGTGGAGCTCGTCGTATATATCTCCATGCCGGCGCGTGCAATTAGCGTACATTCGTACATACACGTGTATTATCAACGACCATCGTCCCTGTCATTTTGTTTCTAAGCATTGATTTATTACCGCGCGGTTGGCAGGATAATTATCGACTACCTTACTGGCGCGCTCGCTTACTTTTCCTTTGCAAAATCACGCGCTGATAACGCCGAGAGGCCCGCTTCACCGACCGTTTTGCATATAATGCTGAGAAATTCATTTGTCTTTAAATATGATTCATAGGTTCCTCCATCGTGGCCCGATGCCATTGAATCGCGCTGTACATGATAATTAGACATCAATGGGCCGGCGTTGTACGCCGATTAACAATTCAAATCAGCAGACGTTCTTACGACTTACTTTGCATCAATTAGGCATAAAATATCGTTCTAATGGGCGGACCACTACCAACGAATACGTCCCAACGAGAACGATTTCTTCCTTGAAACAATTTCTCCCTGCAATCCCCGTCGTTTCCTTAATTACCGCCACGCTCGTGAATTTTTCATGGAATTTCACCGAATCGCCCGTTGTAAATATCTCCTCGGTCCCAACGGACCACCTGCCACGGCATACCGAATACCGGATGAACGGGGACGCTGATAACGATGGGATTCTCGCGTTGATAACTACGAATCCCACGACAAACGTTAGTCCACTCGTGCGTGCACCGTTTCGTCGAAATTCTCGTTGCTTCTTCGTCGAGTAGTCGCAGGACGCCGGCGTGAAAATCAATTCCTTTTTGCTCGACAGCCTCTGGGTGGGGCCCAGAATGGGCCATTAAAACCAGTATTATGAAAGGCGACGAGCTTAGCAGTCACAATCCGCGATATTACACCGTATGCTCGTACGTGCGTTTTCGTGGCGCGAAACAAGGCGTCTAACGAGGCGTAAGGAGATGTCGGGCCCCGGGGTAGGATCGTGCACAATGCTATTCACTTTGCCGCCCTGTCTGCTCGCTGATATTCCTTTCCAGCACGCGTATCGACCAACGAACGCGAATTTCTCTTGGCATCCTCTGACTTACGCGCGTTAACGCTCAACCGTACCGTAACCGATCCAGCTGATACGCGCGGAAATAAAATAAGCAAAAATATAGAAAAATGGAACGCGAGGAGATTGAGAAAAATTGGTAATACCTGTTGTTGGGAATTTCGTGAAGGAAATAGCCAAATGATTAACGTGCAGGGAAGTAACCGTATTCGGTTATACAGCAACTGTATTTATGAAGGTTTAATATACGTGAAATTTATACACTTTATGCAATATACAAATGAAATACTAGAATCTTTTTTAATGCCACTGTGGGTCACAATATATAAGATATCCGTACTGTTTCTGATTCGAGAGCGAAGAGCACCGAGGGACAGCGGGCACTTTTAAACCCCCAAAACCGACCCCTTGAAGTGCAAAGGTCGGTATTGGCCTGCTACCTTTAACAGGCCTGTCGTCATCGTTGCATGGGCGTAGCTGACTTACAACACCTGTATTAAAAGAAAAGATATCCAAACGACAGGGTTGAATGCGGAATTTTTAATTAAAATTTTTAAAGAGACCATTTGAGCACCGGTATGTACACAGGTTCAGTGTGAACACCCTCCACGAACGTTTCAGACAGTCGTGATCTTTCGTACGGAGAAAAGAGAAGGAAGAGAAAAATGGTAACAAGAGATCGATAATATTTCTATGTCTGGATAATATTTCTATGTCGTTGACCGAAAGGTACATAAAACAACGGGATCGGTGAAACAGCAGCGAACCGAACGAAAGGCAAGAACGGCGCCGTAACGCGGCATGTCGCGCGCGCGAAATTTATCATTGCACCCGTGACATTTATGCGCGGAGCACACGAACGAGAACAGTCTGAAAACACGGGAGAAAGAAAGAATCGGGCGCAAAGAACGGCCGGTGGATGCGGCATAAATCGGGGACGCGCGCGGAACAGGTCGATCGAGCGATGCACGCGTCGGGTCGCGCGGATCGGCTGGATTTTCATCTAATATCGACGCTTTACAACGGGCCGACTTAACGACCTGTTGCGGCGGTTAATCCGGCCACGATGCCGGATACCGGCCGGCATAAACGATATTTCAAACAAATCCTCGGCAAGGCGCAGAATGGAAATGTCAAACGCAGCCACGTTGTTGCCGGTCGCTTCGACGTCGAGTGCGAGGCCTACGAGAGCAGGAAGAACGAAATCGCGTGGAATCCATGCTCGTAAATCGACTCTGTTCGATGGGAGAAGGGAAATCGACGCTTCGTGACTGGCGTGTTTTCTCTCTTTTGTTTTCGATCGGCTCGTTTGTCAAGCGATGTTGCACGGGAAACGAATCCGCGATCTAGGCGGCTTTTCGCGCGGCTAACTACGCGCGAAAGGTTAAGAAAATTAGCATTCGAAACGTCACGATTTTCGCTTATCTGCGATCGCCGCCAGACCGATTTCCGACGCCCTCGTGTGTTTACACGGGAGGGAACATTCTTTCCCGTGGCTTAATAATCCCTCGTGATAACCGACGATAGGATACATTTGTCTCGAGCGGGCAAGAACAGGCAGGCGTATTAAGAGGTCATAGGAAAATTGAATTCGCGTAGAGAAATTGTCTGA